ACCTCATCTACCTCATCGTAGATTTATTAAATTATTATTATAAATTATGCACAAATATTTGAAGGTCATTCAATCAAGAGATCTCAACACGAATTTAAGTAGAAAAAACCACCCTTCAATGGACTAGTATTTCAGAGCGCCTGGGCGAGCAAGTAGACATGAGCATATGAAATAAAAAATGGTCTCTAGGAAGTGATATGTTGGGTATAAAATCAACGTCACTTCTACTTCTAAGCGCATATGTTTCAGGCAACTGTCGTCTTGACATACAAAAAACATATGTGTTTATGTGCTTAGAGCACGCGAAATTACAACGAATATGTTGCATACAGCCAGAGCATACGTTGATTGTAGTCAAACTCAAATGAAGATGGCTAACAAGCAAGATGAAGATGACTGCGGAAGCAAGAAAAAATCCAACCGCAACAAATCAAATCAAACAAACAATACAATAAATGCAGCAGAAACCACAATCGTACTTAACAATAATTACAACAAAAAAACATTGAGTAGAATCGTCAACAGACATGAACGTTGTTGATTTTAGCGTCTACAACAATATTCGCGCAATAGTAATAATGATAAAAACTTATGCGGTAATTTATTTTGTCAGCTACTGTATTTGTGATTGCAGCAAAATACGATTTTTATAAATTAAATTTTATATTTTCTTGAGGGCGCAACTTTTTTGTGGTTTAAGTGAATTTGCAATCGAGCAGTGGCAGGTTTTTTTCAAAACCTTTCCATAACATCTGCATAGAGCGCAGAATGTGTGAAAAAATTATGAAAATTAATTTTTAGACTTCGGAGTATGAAATTCCAGATAAAGAACATCCAAATACAAAAACCCCCCTGCGGGTTAGGGGCTCAAGAATTTACCTGCGGTAAGGTATGCCTGTCGTAAGAGGTGCCTAAAATCAAATAGTTCCCGCGACAGTCGGGTCTTTATACCGGAACGACCCGGATTTTTATCCGGCCAAGGACTGTCACTCCCGCAACATTCCCCAAAAGTCCACAAGGCCCTTACCAGTTTCTAAATGTAATTTGAGATCTCTAGCAAAGTTCGGTATCAACTTTGGCTCCAAAAAAAAAGTATAGTAATATATTTTAAATTGTAAGCGATCGCTCTTCATATATAGCACGAACTTTTGAAGCCGAAATACTGCTTCTTAAAACTTTCTTCGAAGCTGCAAACGTATATTGATTTTAATGCGTTGCCCATAAGAAGTATATTTATTACTAAGCCTTACATAAGGTACATTTTCCACTCCTTATATGCCGCAAACAACTGTTATTTCCACATTAATGTGCTGCACGATCATCATTGAACTTTTGTGTCGCTCAATGGCTAACTAAATATAATATTATGCAGTTGCATTTAGCTTAAGGGTATAAGGAAACTGTCATTTAGCCACCAACGCAATTACGAACGCTTACTACACAAAACTGTGCATATACCTACATACATATGTATGGCACTCATGTCGATATAAAATTAAAACAAAAAGAAGGGGAAAAGCATACAAAGCCACAAGGAAAGAAAATACTAATTAGTCTCGAACTCCCGTCAAATCAACGACAATGGAGGTAATCAAATCAACGCCGTCAGTCAAAAATCTATACACATCTACGAAATCTGTTAAGCTCATCATTATTGCAATATTTTGCACGATCTCGTACTTATTTACTTGCGCTCTGCTTGCAGTGTTGTGAATTTCTCCAAGACTTGCCTCTTTTGATTTCCATATGGCTACGGTTCAGGAAGTCATGTCCACAATGTGTCGTTAATGACAAGGAGCGGTTGCTGTTGCAGCTGTGACCGCAGGCAATTCACTCCCAACAAAAGGAATCGCACAAGAAAATGTATAATGTGTACATACATATCTTTTTATATTATATATAGATTGGGTTTGTGGCGTAAAATGGCCGTCACTCACTGATAGAAGACATGAACAAAATTTGTTTTGCTTAAATTTGTTGCACAAACCATTTTTTTCTTTTTTTTTTTAATAAAAACCATACAACCCGAAATCCAATGACGAAATAAGAGCGTAACCAAAAATTTGCATATATTTCTTGACGGTGACGGTAAATATGGCGACAACACTCCTACCAAATGAAACGCCTGTTAACGAAATCTATTCAACGCCGTCAAAACGAATCGTGAGCTCTGTTTGTTGTTAATGGCAACGTTGACCCGTTGTGTGACCTCAAATGTGACATTTCACTGGCACGATCCGTGTACTTTTAGGCGGGCTTGCAAATATTTTGACAAGCGCAGATCATAAGCGGCGACATATCGGCGACAAAGCGCCGTAAGCCATTTGCAGACATCTACCTACGTTTAATAATGCATGTGCAAGCTCAATAAATAATAGTTTATGTTTAAATGTGTGTTTGTGTGAGTAGATGCGTAGTGAAGTAAATACAAAAATAAAGAGTTTGAATTGAGGCATGCAACTTACGGTGCTTTATTATCTACTCTACAGACGTAGTAATCACCAATTTACCGGTTCATTTTGAGGCAGCCGAATTTTTTTTCTTTTTATTACTTAAATTTTCAGTTAACCAATACTTCCGATGTAACATGCATACATATGTATGTTTGCTGCTTACAGGTTACTAAGCAGCACGTTGTCAAACCACATTTTTTGTATAGTCTCTCGCTCTCCACTACTACCTGCGGTGGGCCCGCTTATAGTTACTAAAATTAAATAAGAAAAACAAAATGAAAATTAAACAAATAAAAACGACCATCAAACCACCTTCATTACCCATGAGCCATCTGGTGTCAACGATCATGATTGCAACTTGATCTGCGGCAGCGCATCAATTTCCTCCTTTAACTGATCCATCTTGACACGACGCGCCAATTTGTTGTGAATTATTGTGCGATTTTAATTTAATTACTTGAGCTGGCAGCAAAAGGGTATGAACAGCTTGTAGTAATTACTAGTTGACAGCTTTTTCCCTGATGACAGATGTGCGCAGGCATTGAGTATTTCTTATGAAATTATTATCGAGAAATCTCACAGTTATTGTGTCACTCATTCCTTTTACTAGCAGTGAGTGAGTGGTTTACTCGTACAAGTCAGTCCCGGAACTAAAAGTGTAGCGTTCGCTTTATATTTTTAACAGCAACAATCGTTTTCTTTGTGAACATTCCAGTCTGAACTTATAGAAACCAAGAAAATTCTTGTAGGTCATTGGCGCTTTGACCTCGAGGAAGGAAGTTGCTGTACGTTGATACTGGTAACTTCTCCTGCAAGATAAAAAAATTTAATTTTTAGTAAAAAGTTTAAGGCCTTTCTGCAACATAAGTATTTTTATTTCTATATGTATTTAACTTTACATGCTTACTTACTTACATACTTTACTGGCGTAGACACCGCTTACTCGATTATAGCCGATTTAACAACATTGTGACATTCGTTTCTTCTTTTTGCTGTTTGCGCCAATCGGAAATACAAAGTACAGTCAAGTCCTTCTCTACCTGGTCTTTCAAACGGAGTGCAGGTCTTCCTCTTCCTCTGCGTCCACCGTAGGGTACTGCATCGAAAACTTTCAAAGCTCGAGTATTCGCATCCATCCGGACCACATGACCTAGCCAACGTAGCCGCTGCTTCTTGATTCACTGAACTATATCATATATGAAGAGCTCATCGTTCCATAGTCTGTTGTCATCGTCCATGCTTCCGCACCATTTCGCAGGACGGGCACGATGAGAGGGACTTGTAGAGTTTGGTTTTCTTTCGTCGGGAGAGGACTTTACTTTTCAATCGCCTACTCAGTCCAAAGTAGCACCTGTTGGCAAGACTGATTCTGCGCTGGGTTTCCATTCTGACGTTATTATTGGTGTTAATGCTGGTTCCAAGATAGATAAAATTATCTACGACTTCAAAGTTATGCCTTTCTGCAGTGACGTGGTAGCCAAGTCGCGAATGCAATGACTTTTTATTTGATGACAGGTGATATATCGTCTTGTCCTCGTGCACTACCAGACCCATACGTTTCGCTTCTTTATCAAGCCAGGAGAAAGCAGAACTAACGGCGCGGTTGTTGTCTTATTTTTCTCTCCAGCATCAAATTGAAGAAATCACACGACATAAAGTACCCCTGTTTGTAACCGAACGGTTCGGAGAGTTCCTTCCCAATTCTGACTGCACTTCTGATGTTGTCTAGCTTCAGCTTACCCAGCCGTATAAGTTTTGCGGTTATACCAAATTCAAACAAAGCGTCGTAAAGGCACCTCCTCTTCGTGCTATCAAAGGCGGACTTAAGATCGACGAAGAGGTGGTGCAGTCACATTTAATTAATAACCGTTATTCCATACATAAATAGTTTACTTGTGCCCAGCTACCCACAGCTAAAAACCACAAATTGATTGTCTAATGCATTGTAATGCAGGGCTTCCGTGTTGTACCATGAAACGAATTGCAGATGTTTAGCCAACTAACTAAGCAAGCAACAGTAACCCATATACGGTCAACGAGTACTAGACACGCATCGTATGCCTACACTTGGCCGCCGGTTTGGGAGCGTGTGAATACAGGCAATTTATGTATGCCCGAAGACGAGCTTTGCCACAAAAAAATGGTTAGCAAGTAAAGCAAAGCAATCAACTGCACTGTACGCTTTTGTCAATTGCACGCTCACCAGCGTGTACGCTACGACCTTTTTTGGCGCGCACCACTCATACCCAGCAGACTGTAGGCCATTAACTAAACTCTAATCATCTCTTTTTTCGTCCAATCGTGTTGCGCTGTCCAGTGCGGTATAAAAGCTATAAATATAAATGAAAATGTCAGTTACAATATTTTACTTTCCGAATATGACGGAGATTCCTTGGCCTACAAGCATACATACTCGTACATTTAATACCTGCAAAGCATGCCCTAAATACTTGCATCTGTACACTTTATTATTTATTATATCAAGCACATGCATTATTGATAGTACAATGTAAAGCTTTCTACTCTTCTTCTTCTTCTTCATTTCAGATGCAATTCGAAGGCCTCATATTTACCCCGTCAGAGTCTTGAGAAGCTCAACAACTTAGATCCGGATCATGGCAGTTATAAGCTCACGCTTACCTCAAACGAGGATTTGGTGGCGAATACGAAACCCACCGCCTACGATATACTCGGCACACATAATGGTAAACTGCCCAATAATTTGCCAGATGTTCTGCCTTTGGGTGCAAAATTGCAACCACAGCCAGCATCTCCCACATCCGCCAATGCTTCGCCACTTCGTTATGGTTCCAACAATAGCTTGAATATCTCAACTATGTCTGCACCGGCACAACAGCAGCAACCACAGCAGCAACAACAGCAGTCGATGTCACCCAGCTGCTATCCCGCATATCCGCCTACACAGCATCGCTACTCCACACCCGCTATGAACTCATACAATAGCACCGTTGGCAACAACGCGGGCAAAGCAACTCATTACAGTCGATCTCAATCGTATGATGTACATACTAACTCGCATAGTGGTAGCCCATATCATCCCAGTCACATTAGCAATAGTCCTACGAAATTCATGTCTCAATCTACGTTAGATTTGAAGCGCACACCTCAGCTGGAACCGACACCCGAAGAGACCACAGCAGCGTTGAATAGCGAAAGTGGCACTATATTGTCGCCCGCGCAATCGGAGAGTAGCCTCAGTAGTCCGTGTAGGCGTCAAATGCAGCCGCTATCCATGAAACCACTTTCGAGTCTTGGTAACTCCAGTGACAGTGGCAGTGGCAGTGGCAGCACTAGCGGCAGTGAAGGACGCATTTTCCGCGCTGAGCTGGTAACAGCTACACTCTCAACATCTCCCATCGCACCCGTTAAATCGGTTATACGCAAGGACTCGTTGCGCGAGAATATCGAGAAGATAACGCAATTACAGTCAAAACTAATGTCAGCACATCTGTCCGAAGCTAACTCCTTAGGTATTTATGGTTCGAAAACGGCACTCAACACGACAACGTCATCTATGCCAGCAACACCCACAACAACATTAGACAACACAGCCTTACAATTGAATGAAAGTACCGTGAAGCAAACTAATGATGTCTCGGTTGAACAGTTGCAAGAGGAAACGCATAAAGATGCAAATTCCTCTGCAGAAACCGTTGATTGCTGTAAGGAGATAAATAGCACAACAGTGGGCAGCGGCGTGCAGCCTGCTAATTCGGCTACACATACAACAACGACGTCGCCAATAGCAGACTCATTGCTACCTCAACCGGCCACTACTGGCGCCAGCACAAATACAACAAATGAGGATCTCATAGCAACACCAAACCCCACACAGATGACTTCGAGCACCGAAAGCTTAAAGCTAATGCAACGCAGTGAAATCATACTACGTGTGAACCCGGCCACAACAGAGGCAGCTTCACAAACCGACGACGATCTTGCCGCTGTAACCAATGATGCTGACGAGCAGACACGACTCACCGAGCAATCGTCGACCAAAGACGATGCACAGCAGCAACGCGTCACCTTACAACCACGACAGAGACATCCCATAGAAGTCGACTGTGAGGAAATGTCACAGGAGCTGGCTACACTCTTATCGTCAAACGAAAAATTGGTGCAAATCTTGGCGCCACCCTCACACAAATCACCCACAGACTATGTTAGTAATCTGTATAACCCAGATGTGCCATTGCGACCGGCCAAACGTGATGTAGGGACTTCAACGCTGCTACGCATGAAAGGACATGATGCACAGGAGAAGGTCACAGTAGAATTGCAATATGCCGAAGTGGAAGTACTATTGACCAACGGTGATAATGAATCAGAATCGAGCGATTTGCTGAAGAAAAAAGTGGTAAGAGATATTTTATACCCTCAGGGATAATAAGAAATTTACTAAACAATTCTCTTTTCTTACAGGATGAACTTATGAAACAGTTAAATCGTAAAATACGTGTACTTAACAAGGAACAAACGACGCTCAAAGCGGAAGCTGAACTCAACGATGAGTTGGGCAATAGTTTAGTTAGCAAGTTAACGGATAAAGTCCGTCCCATAGAAGCCACTAAATGTCGCACTTATATAGATGACGTCGGCCAAATTACCAGCCTTCTGCTTTCCCTCTCCGAACGATTGGCTCGCATAGAAAACAGTTTGAGTGGCGTTTCAGCGGAAAATAGCGCCGAAAAGGTAAGAAGGCGGTTAACTAATACAAAAATGTCAAGAAATAACGCTAATTCAAATCTTTTCCTTTACTTTCAGAAATCGCTTGAATTGAAACGTGATCGTCTGCTCGATCAGTTAGCCGAAGCGAAACGCCTTAAGGAGGACATTGAACGACGCGGTAGCAGCGTTGTGTGCATTGTCGAGAAGACACTCAGCGCCGATGAGTTTGCCGACTTTGATTATTTCATCAATATGAAGGCGAAATTGATAGCGGATACCCGTGATGTTGCGGACAAGATCAAATGTGGAGAAGAGCAGCTCAATGCGCTTAGTGAAGCGCTAATACAAAGTGATTGTTAAACAGATTGAAATCTGCGCAAATGAAGCAAGTTATGCTGAAGAAAAAGAGGGATTTCGTAATAAGATTTGTTTGTGGTTGTTGAAGTAGAGAAATGATCGAGAATAGCGCAACTGCAGCTCAGGTCCTATCGTAATGATTTTTTTTTTTAATTAGCTGTGTATGTGTTCGAATAAATTAAAGGACACATATATGTAAATATGTATGTAATGAGTAGGTTATGATAGCTGAGTAAGCGGATTTTCCATGCCTTCAACACCAACAAGTTGAGAGCTTAGTGTGAGAATCGAAAAAAAAAATGAAGGACCATCGACGAGCGCAATTGAACTGAGTCGGCTTTCATCGAAGTCTTTTGATCATTGGAGAGGAAATTTAACAGAAAACCCTAACAAATTTTGTACACTGTCGTAAAGTCGATAAATTTGAAGAAATCTTCACTAAATATGCCTTAAACAGGGTGCTACGCTTTAAATGAAATGTGAACAAAAAAGTTTGTGAGAAATAGCTGCTGAGAAAAGTTAATTAGTTGTTGCATTCGGATGCAGTGGTGGAAATAGCGCGAAGCCAATTGGCATGCTTTTGCAGTAAAAACTGAGACCTAGAAAGGCATTAATGCGATTATGTCTCATTGCAGTAACTATTTAAATTTCAATTACTATAATTTATAGAAATAATAATTATGCATGCACACACACACACACACACACACTTAATTGTATAATATGTGATTTAAAAATACGACTTTATGTTTATTAGTCTTTATTATTATGGGAAATTTGTAGAAAGCAACAAATGCAAAAACTCAAACATATGTACATTTATAAATTACGCAAGCGCAGGAAGTCACAACTGAAAGCCATCTTGCTTGCACGCTTCCTTACCTCTACATTAATATGACGTTGAATGAATGCGTTTGAATATGTATAGGAAACACTTGTAATTTAAACTTAAGAGATTGTAACATTTGCATTATAAATAAATGAGAACATACTGGAATATTAAAAAACTATTCTCAACCGTCTCAATGATATATACGCCCTACACATACATACATATGTATGTATTTTAGTTATTATATAATTAATTTAAGTTTGCGCTAGCATTGGAGCATCAACTGTACTATAAATAAATTTTAATTAAACACTCAAACTCTAGCTCCGCAGATAAAATTTGTAATGAAAATGTTATATACATACATACATACGTATGCATAAGGAATGTAAATGTCATTTAAAGTAAATAAAAACAAAATTATTTTTTCATTTGAAATTTCTACTACCCATTTGATTAATTGCAAATAACAGTTCGCTTGCTTATGTATGTGCTTGCCACAATTAGCGTACTATTAATTAAATGCATTTTTAACGGGTTTTTGGAGAAATTTTCGTAAATGAAATTAATTATATTTTATGTATGCTTATTATAAAAATTGCAAATAAAGAAATACTTCAAAAATAAAGTTAGAAAATCGAGCTCTTATTTATTTCGATTAGAACTTTAATTACATTTTAGGCAGAAATCAGATCAAATCAAATTGAAATTATTTATTATGCAAGATTGCAGCTTAGGATGAATGAAACACTTTTAATTTATTTACATTATACACACATATGTAGTTATAACTTACCGCTAGCAATGTTCTTATGTGATAACATTACGGTTGCTAAGGCACGATTCCTTTACTAGCTTTGACTTCTTTAATTCATATAAAACGTATAAAGTGACTTACGGGTGATGGAGGCCTGATGAACTTTTATGTCATCCCTGAAGCGCAATCGGGGTAATGAAATTCCCTGCCAGGGGACTGCCGCATTTGGAAAATAAATTGTTTTAGAATTTTGGTATGAATAATAAGGTTAGTATTGGAACCTAGGTTCATGCACAGCTATTGGATGAGTGCATAAGTACGTGCCCGATTCCGCTAGATGCCGTGTGAATCGCTTGAGAGTGACGCTTGTGAAAGAAATATATACATATTATATATCGTTGGAAAGGTGACAGTCCGAACTGTAAATTCATTTTGATTTGAGTTGCTTAGTGAACAGACGCATGGAAGATGGACAACGAAAATGATCCTATGCGTCATATTATGTTATACGAATTCCGCAAAGGAAAAACAGTAGGCGCTGCAACTAAAGATATTCGCGAAGTTTATTTGGACCGTGCTCCAGCACTCCGCACAGTAAAGAAATGGTTCGCGAAATTTCGTTCTGGAGATTTTAACCTCGAAGATCAACCTCGCAGTGGACGGCCTTCTGAGCTTGATGACGATGTTCTAAGGACTTTAGTTGCGAATAACTCACGTATTTCGACGGAAGAGGTTGCCAGTGAATTGAACGTCAACAAATCAACTGCGTTTCGTCGTTTAAAAAAGGTTGGGTACACTTTGAAGCTCGATACATGGGTGCCACATCAGTTGAGTGAAAAAAACAAAGTGGACCGTATGTCAACAGCAATTTCTTTGCTTCGACGGATCAAAAACGAACCTTTTTTGGATCGGCTCGTGACTGGTGATGAAAAATGGATCCTGTACAACAATGTTCAACGCAAAAGAACATGGAAACAGGCACACGAAGGGGCGGAACCGATGTCGAAAGGTGGATTGCATCCGATGAAGGTACTGCTGTGCATTTGGTGGGATATCCGAGGCGTGATCTATTTTGAGCTCTTGCCAGCTGGAGAAACGATCACTGCCAACAAGTATTGTCAGCAATTGGTCGAATTGAAGAAAGCAATTGATGAAAAACGTCCGATTTTGGCCAATCGCAAAGGAGTTCTTTTCCATCATGACAACGCCAGGCCACATGTTGCAAAACCGACCCTGGCCAAACTGAAGGAGATGAATTGGGAAATCATGCCGCATCCCCCATATTCACCCGACATTGCACCTTCTGATTATCATTTGTTTCGATCGCTGCAGAACAATTTGAATGGAAAAAAATTTAAAAATGTGGAAGACGTCAAAAACCACCTTGACACCTTTTTCAACGAGAAACCGCGCGATTTCTATGAATCAGGCATCCGTAAATTGGTTGAACGTTGGGAGTGGATTGCCGAACATGATGGCGAAAACATAATTGATTAATAAAAGCGCTTTCTTCAAAAATTTTCAATTTTAGTTTGCACTTGAAATCGAGCACGAACTTATGCACTCATCCAATACCATCACTCTTTACACTTTTGAAATTACACAATGGTGTCTCATAATCTTAAATTTTTATTTCGATATGTCACAGGAAAGTTTCAATTTTGTAATAAATTGCCTTTAATTGTCGGTACAATGTGTAGCAGCGCACTGCACACACACAGAGAAAATCACATTCACAACATAGAAAGTTCTGGTGACCGACAAATCGGAACATTCCGTTATATACATACATATATTAACGGAAGTGAATTATACACGGCAGGAAATACGCACTATTGCAAAAAGTCTGCATTGGCTATTCCAGAAAAAGTAAAAGAATATTACGCACCAAATATAAGTGCATGTGAAAAACGACACCTTAAGCGAACTGTAGCACATAGCCTATTTTAAATATTTCGATTTATAACTAAATACTTGGAAAAAGCTTTGCTTATGAGCCAAAAAACTAATTAACGGAATAACGAGCAGAACTGCCCAGCGGAAACAGCGACATGACAAAGAATCGTATGAACAGTTTGAACGCCAATGGATGATAAAAGTCAGTAATGCAACCCTACTTCTTAGTATGAATATTTTCGCAATAAGTAAACATTTGTTTAAATTTTCGAATTATCAATTTGGCACAGTTTTTTTATGATTCCGGAGTAAATAATATATAATCAAGTTTTGTTCTAGCTGTGTAAATAAATACAGTATGTATTAAACAAAACAAAAATCTTACACATATTGATATATTGGAAATGGCAGATGTCAACAAAATGCAAAATAAATCAGACAACAACAAAAGCGGCGATAATCCCAACAACAAAGTGCTAAACCTGTTAGTTGTCACTTCCCACTATCATTTTTTGTGTCATTCGCTACACCACTTCGCTTTTGATTAAATTTGCTGTCTATGCTGCAAAAGCAGCAGCATTTTTAATTTACGTAGCGGTCACGGAAAGCCAATTTGGCGGTGTATTCAGCTTTAAGAAAAGTTAAGGGATAATTTCAAAGAGCAACTTTTCCTTGTAATAATTGGTTCTGCTATGTTGAATAACATTTTTCATTTTAACTCGATACGTAATGTCATAGCTACAACGGTCATACGAACACCCGCAAGGACAGTAAGTAAGCAAATTCTAACTACCGCAACAACTGATACATCGACGCAAACCAGTTGTGCAGTCTTTGTGAAAAGAAGTATTTTTGATAGTGGATACCGTAAGTAAGTAGCATCAAGGTATTTTCTAAATCTACATTGAAGTAACATAAAACTATCGTTAAGACATCAGCATTGTAGTATTATATAAAAGGTTTTTTTTTATAATCAGCAAACAACGTGTTTCAACAAGGAAAATGTCTGACGAACGAGCTTCTCAAAGTACGTCGGAAACGGAAGAAGCCGCGGCAAGTAGCACCGCCGGTGCCGCAGCGAGCTCCGCCAAACATTCAAATCGTTTGATAAATGAAAAATCACCTTATTTGTTGCAACATGCACACAATCCCGTTGATTGGTATCCGTGGTGTGATGAAGCTATTGAACGTGCACGCGAAGAAAACAAAATTATATTTCTCTCTGTGGGATATTCAACATGTCATTGGTGTCATGTAATGGAACGCGAAACATTTGAAGACGAGGCCGTCGCTGCAATAATGAATAAAGATTTTATAAATATAAAAGTAGATCGCGAAGAGCGACCAGATATAGATAAAATTTACATGCAATTTGTATTGATATTCAACGGCAATGGCGGTTGGCCTATGTCTGTATGGCTGACACCAGATCTAGCACCAATCACAGCGGGTACATATTTTCCACCTGCCAATCGGTGAGCATTATTTATACTCATTGTTAAATACTTTAAAACCATTCGAATTTTCCTCTCCTGTAGCTGGGGAATGCCCTCCTTCACTAACGTGATTACAACTCTTGCCTCCAAATGGAAAACAAACCAGGATTCGTTGAAGCAAACGGGAAAAGATGTGATTGGTGTGTTGAAAAAATCAATGACCGAAAAAGTTAACAAGGATGTATTTGAACCAGGCAGCGCCGATGCAAAATTACAAGAGGCTCTGGAGATCTACAAACGTCGCTTTGACCACCAACATGGTGGGTTCAGCTTGCGGCCTAAATTTCCTGAAGTTGCGCGCATAAACTTCTTATTCCATGCTTACATCGTGACCAAGGATGCAGATGTGCTAGAAATGGCGTTACAAACATTACAAAACATCGGTAGAGGAGGCATACATGATCATGTTTTCGGTGGTTTCTCGCGCTATGCTGTGGACGAGGCCTGGCATGTGCCGCACTTTGAAAAAATGCTGTACGATCAAGGGCAATTAATGACTGCCTATGCCAATGCATATAAATTGACCAATGATAAGGCTTACTTAAATCATGCTGATGGAATCTTTCGTTACTTAATGAAAGATCTACGTCATCCAGAAGGAGCTTTCTTTGCAGGCGAAGATGCCGATTCGCTGCCTACGGCTGATGCCAAAGAAAAAGTAGAAGGTGCGTTTTATGCCTGGTCCTGGGATGAGATCAAGGAGATAGTGGAGCAAAATATAGAATTGTACTCTGGGTTGAATTTAAATTTAGAAAAAGTGTTGGAAATCTATGCATTTCACTATGATCTAGAACAAACAGGCAATGTAGAGGGAAGAAGTGATCCACAGGGCCATTTTACAGCTAAAAATATACATATTGTGCGCGGCTCAAATGACGAAACGTGCAAAGAGATGGATATAACAGAAGAGCAGCTGCAAAAAATACTGCAAGTTACCAATGGGCTGTTGCATGAGATACGTGACCAGCGACCACGTCCACACCTAGACACAAAAATAATTTGCGCCTGGAATGGCTTAGTACTTTCCGGTTTGTCGAAATTGGCTAATTGCGGTGTAGAAAAACGGGACGAATATATGAAAGCTGCAGAGGAATTATACAAATTCTTGTACAAGAATATGTATGATAAAGAGAGAAAAGTATTGTTACGGACTTGTTATGGACTCGGTACGGACGATACTACGGTGGAGGTCGCATCGTAAGTGAAAGTGAAAAACATGTATTGAAATATACGGTTGATAATTTCGTTCAAAATTGTTTTAGTGCTCAACAAATTGATGGCTTTCTAGACGATTACACCTTTGTGATACGTGGCTTATTGGATTATTATAAAGCCTCGTTAGATGACAGTGTATTGAAATGGGTTAGAGAGCTACAAGAAATACAAGACACCAGATTTTGGGACGAAAATAATGGCGCATATTTCTACTCCGAGGCCGATTCGCCGAATGTAATTGTTAGGCTAAAGGAAGGTAAACAACAGGCTTTTCATAATAAATTTAAGATTTTTGAGCTAAAGCAATGTTGTAATTGTCATTAGACCATGATGCTGCTGAACCCGCTGGTAATAGCATTGCAGCTCGCAATCTTATATTGCTCGCGCACTACTTAGACGAGCAGAGTTATCAGCAGCGCGCCGATAACTTACTGAATTTTTACGCTGATGTTAATAACTTCGGCTACACGCTACCTGCAATGATGTCAGCTCTTTTATTGCGTGACAATGGACTGGATTTAGTTGCTGTAGTGGGACCGGATTCGGATACTACACAGCGTTTTGTTGAAATTTGTCGGAAATTCTATATACCGGGTATGATTATATTTCACGTTGATCCTGAATGTCCCGATGAAACTTACAACCAACGTGTGCAGAATAAGTTTAAAATGATTAATGGTAAAACAACGGTCTATATGTGTCATGATCGCGTGTGCCGTATGCCAGTTACCGATCCCGAGGAGTTGGAGAGTAATTTGAAGGAAAAGTTTTTTAAGAACGATTAAAAATAAAAATATACCACATTATACATAATCTCATAGAAAAAATTTCGAAATAACTGTTATGGTGCTTGGTGTTTTGATTAAATGAATTATACTGAGCAATAAAAATTAGAAGATATTTGAGAAACATTGGTGTTTTAAATAAAAAATATTTTAGATTTAATAGAAATTGTTCCATGTTGATCAAAATATACAAAAACTGATTGTGAATTGTGTGTCTGCACAGCAGAATGTACGCCTAGCGTTAAGTTTGTATTTTTGGCAAGTTTTGAAAATTGGTTTTGTATGAAAATAAGTAATTATGGAAGAAATGTATACATAATTGCGATGAAATGCAAGTTTTAATTCAAATAAAAATACGAAAAAGAGTTATTTAAAATCTACCTCTTTTCTTTTCTTTTAAATTCTTCTTTCCTCACCTATTCGTTTTGCACTTCTGTTCTTTGAAATGTTTCCAATGTGCAATTGTTAGGTGTATAATTATTTACAGTTGTTGTTGGTTTCTGTATTAAAACTTGTTTATTTTTATATTTTTAGTTTTTATTTATTTGTTTTGCCAAACACAGCAATCCTTGTGTTCGCTACTCACACATTTACAACGCAAAATAATTAGAGAGAAGTAAACAAACAATTCACACACAGAGTTTTGTGGCACACTTGACCACTTTTGCCCAGTAAAGAAACCGCTCCACTTTGTGTGCCGGATTCACTGTTCTACGGTTAAATCTCGGCCTGTGGAAGCGCATTGACATACTTGGGCGCCTCTTCTACAATAGTTTACAATACAATTATATCCATTTGTTATATAAATTTAAGTTTAAGATTTGTTTCTTTCTTTAGTTATCTTTTTTGAAACGAAATACAAAAAGGAGAAAGAATGTCTATTCGTAACGTTTAATGTTAATTATACGCAAAAAGTTCACTGAACAAATTACTTGCAGTTCATTAATTAATTAATAATTTAGCAGAAGAAATTCATTTTCATCACATTGAGACCCATTTGGAAGGTAGACGTCTGCAACATAGTCATAGTCATCGTTCATTTTTAAATTTTAATCATAAATTTGTTTAAAATTCAGTTGATTTTAATGTCACTGTAGCTGGATGGTGAGACTTGAAAGTCATTTAGCCATTTAGGCATCATTCATTGTCATGGCGGAATCAAAATTATCCATCATAGCGTCCATACGTTCTTGATGTTCAAAGCGTTCAAATCGTCTTTGTCGTTTGTTTATCCGCAGTCGACGCCGTAATGTGGCAACTTTATAGTGTCTCAGTCGTCGAAAGCGTATCTCCTCCTCCACGGCTTCATCGTATTCCGGCGCGGACACAGAGTCCTCCTCTTCGCCCACACCCACCGGTTCCCGGAAAAATTCTTTCGGATTCCTGTGGACTTTAAAAATTTTTGCATTGGAATCATGCTTTCGTATCACACGGGAATTGGCACTGATGCCTCTTTCCGGTGGCAATTTTGATGAATTCTCCTCATTCAATGTGCCACCGTTACTGGTATTACCGCCAACACCACTACTAGTGATTTTAACCACATTAAAGAGCTCTGCAAGCTCGGCGTCGGTACGTTGCTGCTCCTTGAGTTTCTTTTTGTACTTGGGTGCATAATCGAGAATGTAGAGCAGACTGTTCAGTGGGTCATCGTCAGCGTTGCCGTTGACATTGAGTTGATTGGAGGCGGTGGGTGAGGGCGCAGGCGTGCTATTGGCCGTCAGTGATGTGGGCGTGGACGGAGGCGCTGGTGGTCCCCCGTGCGATACAGTATAGCGACGATGTGGACGCTGGCGACGTTTCACAACCTTCCATGAGAAAATACTGGGCTCTTGAGGCACCAACTCCAGGTCATACATTTCACCTGCTTGCGGTGGTGGTGTAGAACATAGCTCCACATCATATTCTTCATCCGATTTGGCCATTTCGATGGTCTGCTGATTGTGGAAACCATTGACAATAGATGTTGCAAATACATAAACATACAATCCGGCAAAATCGGTAAGGGCGTGAAAAGAAAATGGTTGAAAAACAGAATATGTACAAAAGGTGTAAATTAGAATAGCATTGAAATTTAATATATTTTTAGGTTTATTGGCCTTGTGTGAACGGAGATGCCTACCTGGAATAGATAATCAGCCTCGGTATATTTTTGGTCAGCCAGTCGATGGAACTCCGCCATCATTGAGTCGGGTCGATTTGAAAAGCGTGTCGTCAGGAAAATAAACAAAAACAAAGTGAAACAACGAGAAAAACGGCGAATACGAGGAGAACGGAATTTTTCCCGAAATTTTTCACGATTTCCTTTTCCACTTTGTTTTCGTTTCTGCTTTCGTGTTTCTTGTTCTCGTTGTTTTTTGTTTTGCTGATTTTTGTTATTGTTTCGCATGTGTTTTCATTATGTTGTGCTGCCACTTTCTGTGGTTTGTCATCAGAGTTTCTCATTTATTGAACCAAATTTACTGGGTTCGTACTAAGCGTGCAACCCTGCACCTGAGAAAAAAGAGACGAAGTATGTTCAGTTGGAAATAAACTTTTGTTTCAACTTTTAAACCGCTTAAAAGAAAAATTATTTAAAGCCCCTTCAAAGGCAAATATGAGTTTATAGATTTGAAAAGCCTCTTATATCAAAAATTCCAGAAGTTGCTTTTGTAATAAACTTTTTGTCATTTTCCTTCATTTGTCAATACAACTCTCGATGGAGCTATTGTTGCCATTCGCAAAAGTCAAGAAATGACAGGCAAATTTTGACATTTGTTCAGCCCGTTCAGCCGGTGAAGTTTGTGAAGTCTTGTGAGAATTTTTCGCCATCTTTCAAGTTTCGGTGTTTTTCTTTGACAGCGTCTGAAAAGTGGGAAAATATATCCGCTTGAATCCATCGATCCAGAAGCTGAGCAACTAACTCAAAATGTCCGCATTCCCGGGTACATTTGCATTCGACGAATATGGTCGTCCTTTTATAATTTTACGCGAGCAAGAACGCGAAAAGCGTATCACGGGTAACGATGCCATTAAGGTGGGGCTCCAATTATATTTGAATATAAAATATTGGTGGAAGTACTTGTATTTTGTGCATTAAGAAATAATTGTGAAAAGTGATAAATTATGGCTTTGGTGACTAATTTGAGGCCGATTGGCTATGAGATGCAGCTGCCGAAACTTCCAGACGGATGCAGCTGCTTTTGTGAACAATGTTTTATCACTGAGGGAATGAGAAAGTCTTAGAAATTATTTCATTAAAATGTGAAAGAATTATTAAAAATATGGAATGAAATCCAAAATGATATAGTTTTCTGTGTAAATTCTTGAAATTTTATTAAAAACCTAACAGATGTGTCCAAATGACGTCACGGACAATGTTAGCGTGCAGATGTGAGGTTAAAGACGCGCAATGTTTGTGATTGTGACTCACCGGTTGAAATAGGAAATTTTCATCTAAATCAATCTTATATTAAATAAAATACAAACTTCATCAATATACATAGTTTTAACATTTTACGATAAAATTACTGATTGTTTGCTTTACAGAGTCACATCTTAGCAGCGCGTCAAATTGCGAGCACTCTGAAAACATCACTCGGTCCTAAGGGTTTGGATAAGATTATGGTCAGTTCTGATGGCGACGTAACCGTTACCAATGATGGTGCAACAATTATGAAATTGATGGAAGTCGATCATGAGATTGGTAAACTCATGGTGCAATTGTCGCAATCACAGGATGATGAGATTGGTGATGGCACAACTGGTGTTGTGGTTTTGGCTGGTGCTTTGCTGGAACAAGCTGAAAGTCTCATTGATCGTGGCATTCATCCCATTCGTATTGCTGATGGTTTCGAATTGGCTGCTCAATGCGCTGTGAAGCAGTTGGAATCAATTGCCGAACCTTTTCCTATTGACCGCAACCATAAGGAACCTCTGGTAAAGATTGCTATGACAACGCTTGGCAGTAAGATTGTAAACAAGTGTCACCTGCAAATGGCAACCATGGCCGTGGATGCCGTTTTGAATGTAGCCGATATTGAGAAGAAGGATGTCAATTTTGAGTTGATCAAAATTGAGACGAAAGTTGGTGGACGCATGGAGGACTCGATGCTTGTGAAGGGTGTTGTAGTCGATAAGACTATGAGCCATGCACAGATGCCTAAAGTTTTGAAAGATGTAAAGCTTGCTATACTTACCTGCCCATTTGAACCACCAAAGCCAAAGACCAAGCATAAGTTGGACGTCACTTCAGCTGAAGACTATCGGGCATTGCGTGAATACGAACAGGAGAAATTCATACAGATGGTGAAACAAGTTAAAGAAGCCGGTGCCACTTTGGCTATTTGCCAATGGGGTTTCGATGACGAAGCAAATCATTTGTTGTTGCAACACGAGCTGCCTGCTGTGCGTTGGGTTGGTGGACCTGAGATCGAGTTGATTGCAATTGCCACTGGTGGAAGAATCGTGCCGCGTTTCGAAGAGTTGACTCCAGAAAAACTGGGTACAGCTGGCCTCGTGCGTGAATTGTGTAAGTTGACCATTCTTATTGTTAATTGATTACATAGTGCATTAAACAAAATATTTATTTATAGCCTTCGGTACTTCTAAAGACAAAATGTTAGTGATTGAAGAGTGTAAGAATTCCAAGGCTGTAACTATTTTCTTACGCGGTGGTAACGCCATGATTATTGCTGAGGCCAAGCGTTCTATTCACGATGCACTTTGTGTTGTGCGTTCGTTGATCAAGGTAAAAAAAGCAAAAATTTATAAATAGGAAATATTGTAATGTTCTTTTCATTTAAAGGACAACCGCATTGTTTATGGTGGTGGTGCTGCTGAAATCAGTTGCTCCCTGGCCGTTGCCAAAGAAGCCGATCAACTGTCCACATTGGAACAGTACGCTTTCCGTGCCTTCTCAGTGGCCCTTGAGAATATACCTCTGGCTTTAGCCGAAAATAGCGGTTTGCATCCTATTGAGACCTTGTCGGAGTTGAAGGCGCGTCAAGTGGCTGAGAAGTGCCCCAGCTTAGGTGTTGATTGCATGTTGTCCGGTGATTCCGATATGAAAACTCACAATGTGGTCGAATCGCTGCATTCCAAGAAGCAACAAATCCTATTGGCCACACAGCTAGTGAAGATGATACTTAAGATTGATGATGTGCGTTCAAAGGATGCACAACAGTAAATGTGCAGAAACCTAACAGCATTAATACATATTCATACTTAAATTCATCGCCTCATCATCCTTAATTGTCATTAACTGTGCGTCTCTTACTTTTTTTTAAATAATAATCCTCACTATGATTCTATGTTTTAAAATTCGCGGTAACATTTACAATATTTCTTGTCATTTGTGCCGCTGAAAACCTTTAATTTGTTTGCTTAATTAATAAAGTACTAAACGAACAAATTAAAATTCGTTTTTTTTTTTATAATTTTTTTTTTGCGGCTATGCTATATATTAATTTTTATTAAGTAAACTACGAGGCCTTGTTGTTTGTATGAATTGAATATTTGTTATACAACGAAGAAAAATGGTAGAAGTGACACCTGTTTCGGAGATCACCACATTTATTTACATTTGTCTTTTTACCCGTAGTAAAGTTTTAAACTTAACATATTTAATAACATTTTTATTCTCATAACCTTCAATTTTTTTTTATAATTGCACACCTCCCTGGCGGACCGCTACCCGTGAGCTTAAGCCTTCTTGCCGTTAATACGCCTTAATTGCTTTCGGTTCACCTGATCGAAGAACAGAAGACCAGCTGCGCGTTCCACAGTCTCTGGCGGCACTTGGAACACCTGCAACGGTGTATCGTCACTGATAACCTGATTTGGCATTACATATGCTTCCATATCCAATTGTTGATCAGCCGTTTCGCCCACGACTATTTTATAAAAATGCGTGGGCACTGCAACAGTATTGTTACCAATGACTTCATATTTTACATATGTCTTGCCATCATCCTCTTTACGTGGCAGATATAGTGGACCCGTGCAAATGTACACATTTGGATATGCCTGCGTCAATTTGCGTACGTACATCTCAAGACGATTCCACGAATCACGATTGAAACCTTGGCCAACTTGTGGCGCCATATTCGATAGGAAAAACGTGTCCTCACAATGCTTCTGATGACGTCGATGATTACCCGCCGCTGCCATATGACCGCGATCATAACCGGATCGACGATAATCGGTATTTTGGGCACGGAAGAATGGATGTATGCTCTCATCCGCGCGGAATTCACATTTTGAACGATCTACAGCTTCATTACGAGCTACCGACTCAGGTGTAAGATGTTCGAATACCCAATGTGGCACGCGATTTCGACGATCATAAGATAATACAAAATCGGAATAGGAACGCACATGATCAAGGCCGGGAAAACCGTATTTCATGATCTGTGAAATGCGTCCTGGTGTGGCAGTGAGATTTACTTCCTGTGCCGGCACCGGCACCGCAGCCGAGACGGTACCGAATATGGGCAGTCCTGGACGGCGTTCAAGCTAGAAAGTGAAAACAATATACGAGTTAATATGTGCACATTTAAAAATTAAAAAAAAACTTAGTTACATCTTGCACAGCTCTGTTCACTTTACTATCAGCTCCCTCCAGCTGCTGTCGTTCTGCATACTTGCCTGTGTAATAGGCACAGGTGGCAACAGTCGCGCACGCCAGTACGTTTTTAATCAGCCTTTTATTCATGTTTATTGTTGTTATTTATTGTTAGTAAAATGTTTAATGAGCGAATTAACTCAACCCCACGTGAATTAAGTCCAATCGGCCTAAATGCAAGGGAAACAGCTGTTTGTTGTTATCCAACAGCAGTCAGCTGTGCAGGCACAGTGCAGCAATTAATTCAAGGCAATAACGTAGAATAAGGAACAACAATGCATTAAACATATGTATTAAAATAAGCATTAATTATATAAATAATAATAATGCTCGTTAAGTTAAATTGTTATGTATAAGAATTCAAATTTTGGCTGCAGGTGATCGCTGCTTTACTTATCGATAACCAGTAGTTTTTAATAAACTAGCATCCGTTGGCTCTCAAACTGTGACGAAGCGGCTAATTTGACAGTTCTCTGTATCCGCTAGTTGTGTATGTTAGATTTCCGCTAGTTGCGCAAAGTTTTATTAATAAAATATGTTTCACCGCTTTATTCAAAATATTTATTTGTGCAATTGTGCCACAAGTAGTGAAATAAAAGTGTTTCGTGTGCGATTTTTTTGTTTGTATTGAATTATTTGACATAAAGTGTATTTTGAAGTCATGGGAGTCCTGGCCTTGTGGTGTTTAGCTAATGCAGTGTTTCCTTTTATGCATCGCGACATTCACAAAAGTTTTTAAATAATTTAAAAAAACTTTAATTGTTAAGTTCAACCCAGCAGCTTTCTTTTAATTTGAGTGAATCTATAGAAAAGTGAAATAATTGTGCGCGTCTGTGGCGCCGTTTGGCAGTGTATAAATAAGTTTGCTATTAGCGAAGAGCAACTGCTTTTTAGGTAAGTGAAATTTCACCAACTATGCTTTGAAGTATTGATTTAAATCAAATAATAATTAATAAATAATCTTTTCAACTAAAAACACAAATTTTTAAAATTAATTGATTTTTATTTCACGTTTAATTAATACAAAACTATTTTGGAAGCGACAAATTAATACAGTTTAACTTAACTTAGCATTAATATTATTACATTTTAGTTCTATCTTGGGGTTTCCTATGGTTATCACTACTGACAGCATTAAAAATTAGAATTTATAAATTTCCGAATCTCTTTGAAAATCACAACTTAATTTATTGTTTAGTTTTTTTTTTTTGCATTATTTTGCTTACTTTTGCTGAGTATGTTTACTGAACTAAAAGTTAATATGTAAAATTTGAAACTGAAATCTATGCCAATCAGACGACGCATAGCTAGCATGTATCCTTATTGCAATCGACAAAATTACTAAACTCCGTTGAATTCGGTGGACCTTCACTATAGAGATATGTCACTGGCCACAAACGTGCGGCGGCAAAATCACTCAACCCCTGCAAGCCACCCGGTCGAGGCGGTCTTTGATATTCATTGGATGCCGAACTGCTTTCGCTGTTATGCTTCTTCTTATTATTATTATCACTCTTCAGAGAAGCAAATTTAAGGCTGGTGTGTGTGTGTGAGCTGGTTGCCGTTTTATTGCCCGGATAATAACGATCACTGCATTTACGCCACTGATCCGCTTCATCGCCCACAAAGCACCTGCGCGAATGTATGTAGAACATTGTAAATAAAAATTTTATCATGTCTAGAGTAATTTTTAAACTAAAAATAATAATAAAACAACACCAACACTCACCATGGATAATCGAACCCCTGCGAGTAGCCACAGGGGTGTTCAGCCTTACAACAATAATCCCACGAGCCAATTTCACCACCATCAATCTCACACGAATAGAAGCCAGTTACGAGATTTTTTTCGCATGGACTGCTCGAGCGACAAGCCTTACCGGTAACGGTATAATGACGCCAAGCCACATCGCCTAAAGTGTTTAGGTTGAAGAAAGTTTTTTTTTTGTGTTTGAGTAGTCTTTATTACATGAACTAAGTGCTCGATTGTTAGCAGAACCAATACCAGGTAAAATACGAATTATAAATATCTAATTGGATTCTGGTACTAAATGATTAGGTTCACACACATAAAAAGCAATAGATGGACCACAAATAAATTTTAGAGTTAGATTGGTAAAGGCTGGGACGAGTTGATACTATTCTAAAGCTAGGGGGTTGGTAAGTAGAATTTTTACTTATTTACAATATTAAATATTTTTTCTTTCATTTTTCATTATACATGCATTGGCATTTTTATAATAATAGGTAGAAAAATAAATTTTATTATTATTTACAAGCTAATCCTCTTAGTACGATTTTTGTTAGCTTAACACCACCAAAAATTTAATTTTTTTTTACAAAAAATCTGTTTTTTTTTCGCTTCATTTTTATTATTTATTTTGTAAAATAATCACTTTTAAATTCATCAGTATTTAATACTTTCAATTGTAACTAGTTGTTATTTACACTAGTACTGAGGTGCAACAGGTTAGAATTTTCAGTTTACCCGGTTCACGGAATATATCCATGCGACGGTCATTGTTCACACGAGATCCGCCAATAGTGTTCACTTTATCGCGACAAGTCCAATCGAAGGGATTCCAAGCGAAGAGCCAATAATCGCGATCGTCCGTGTGTGTATAGTGCTCATTCAGTTTTAGCTCAGTTTGATCGAGATCGGAGAGTTCACAGTTGTAGGAAGTGGCGCGAGAGCTGGCAAGAGAAGAGTAAAATTAATTTCAACTAAATAACTACATATTTCTTCTATTTTCTCTAATTGTATATACATATTGATCAAGTAAAAAGTTCGTTCGGTTTTTATCTAAGAGATGGCGTTATTGTCCATAGTACTAGTGCTAAGTGTCGCATCATGTCATACTATACGCCGCTGAAAACGTGTTTATTCGCGCCGAAAGCTTGTCTTTGACAGTTTTTCGATTGATTGACGACTCGGTACGTTGCGAGCGCTCGTCAAAGATGGACACCAGTAAAGCGGAAATTCACTATATTTTAAAATTTTTCTTCGATCAAGGCAAAAAAACAGCCAAAGCGGCTGAAAAAATTGGTTTATTTTATGGTCCGCTACTGTAAACGAACGTGTAGCACAAAAGTGGTTTGCTAGGTTCCGTTCCGGTAATTTCGATGTCAAAGATACACCAGGTTTTGCTGTGTGTTTGATGGGATTGGCAAGGAATCATCTACTACGAGCTGCTCCTCTATGGCCAAACGCTCAATTCGGTCCTCTCCTGCCAACAAATAGACCACCTGAAGGCAGCACTCATCCAGAAGAGACCATCTTTAATCAACAGAGGCCGAATTATGTTCCTTCAGTACAACGCCAGACCTCACATGTCTTTGGTGATGCGCCAGAAGCTCTAGAAGCTCGGATGGGAGGTCCTAATGCACCCACCTTATAGTCTGAACCCGACACCAAGTGATTACCATCTTTTCCGATCCATGGCGAACGCGTTTAATGGTGAGAAGTTGACTTCAAGAGAGGCCTGTGAAAATTGGCTCTCCGAGTGTTTTACCAATAGGGACGTAGTCTTCTACGAGAGGGGTATAGTGAGTGGTATAATGAAGTTGACATCTCATTGGCAACAAGCTTACGAACAAACCGGCGCATATTTGACTTAAATCGAACAAATGTACAAAAAGTTATCATATTTTGAAAAATCAATAAAAAAAAACCGAACGAACTTTTTACTTGACCTAATATTTAATTGTCTGATATTCCCTGCCGGGAGGCGACCGTAGTTTGCAAAATTAACTTAATTTTTTATATAAATTAATTTTCTATAATTTTTTTTTTGAAGTTGGTCGGACCCAGACGCGAACCCTGGGCTGACCCTGGGCTACACTAAAATTAACTTTTGTTCCAACTCACCCATAACTGAAGGAGTAGCACTTGAAAGACGTCGTTTCCCTATAGCGTATGCACTCTTTCTTACACGCCAACTCGGACGGCACGGATATAACTTTTTTTATAGCTGTTGAGAGTAGTTTCGCCGGCGAGCCATAACCCAAATAACACACTGCTGAAAATTTCAAAAGCTAATGGGATAAAACATTTTTCTTTCAAAAAATCTCAAACACTTCACTAACATTTCTTATGTTTGTCATCTACAATCGGTTGGATTTCACAGCCGTGTCCATAACTCGCACGCTCGAAGACATCAAAAGCCGCATCCTGTATAAGATGACGTTCCTTATCCATATCTCGCACCGGCCAATCGCTTAACTGACAGTTATCAATGACGCTCGCGTGACGCTGCTGGCCGTAGCGATAGGCGAAGGCTCTGCAAGTGAATTTGACTGATTTTATACATTCCATTTCGCATTCACCCACCGATCGCACCGTTAACGAGTCGCGCACTATGGACTTGTAGAAGCGTGTCGCATCAATAGCACGGAAAAAGCACTCTGTCAGGAGGAAATTATTAGATTTTAAATAAAAAAGAATCTGCAGTGATGTCTTCAACACATACGCGCATTACGCGGATCCGCCAACGCCGTCCCTGGTCTTGAGCCATAATGACCGGATTCATCGCTGCGTGATGGTTTCCGACACACATCCAAGTCATCGGCCATCGAGTAAATATCGTAATCGCGATCAGGCTCTATATCAACATAGTAATCTAAAGAGTTGATCGGACGATCGCATAGCATACAATTATCGCGTCCAGCTGGATTGTAACGGTAGCTGTAGGTGTGACAGCTGAAACCATCTTGACCGGAACACAATTGCTCACACTCCACAAGTGTGGGCACGGATGTTGAATGTTTTATAGCGGTTTTGTGTAGACGAAAACCTTCGCCTATCTTTGCAGAGCATTCTTTAAATGAAGAGATAAATGCAAAATTTTTACAATTGAAGCTCGTGCGTCAATTTTGAAAAGGAAATTTAACTCACCATCAGGTCCTGGGCGTCTTGTCCATGAGTGTCTATAATCATGGCGATCTCTGAAACCATCCGAGCCAAATCCACCATAACTCGAACCAGGATAACTCAGCACCGAATTTGGCTCACGCGGTGAACCACGCCTCGTACCACCCAGCTCGAAGTAATTGAAATCGAGCGGATCTCTACGTCGATTATATTCATTCAAACCCCAATACGATGATTGTTTATTATAGTTGCCACCGTAACTACCGCCATAACTACCCCAGTCCTTTTCCTGTCCAATCAGGTACGGCACAAACTTTGAAGAACCCTTGTAACTGCTGACGGGTGGGCCATCACGATCTAAATAGTTATGCGTTGATAGCGGTGGTGGTGGTGGTGGTCGCCTGTAGGAGTCTGTTGGCGCTGACGGACCACTTAGTTCGTGAGAGCTCGGCCGATATGGCGAGTAATCGGGTCCCGGTCGATAAGGTGGACGAAAACGATCGCTTTCTGGTCTGGGACGGTAATGTGTGCTATCGTAGCCTGGACTACTTGGTAAGCTCTCCCAACGATCTGGTCTACCGGGCCGATAACGATGATGATCTTCAGGTCGTATGTAATCATAACGATCTATTGGACCCGAACCGGTGCCGCTACTGCCATAACCGCTCGGTGGCGTATGCTCGAAATACGATGAGCCATGCGAAGAGAACTCAAATGCGCTGGAGTGATGATACTCCGAAGACGACGACGACGATGAAGGTGGTGGCGACAATGGTGGCCGATGATCATATGAAATGGATGATGATGGCGGTGGTGGGGGTCCTGATGGATGATAACGGTCAATGGCAGTGCTGCTGGGTGGACGGTAACGATGCTCATCGCTACCATAACCGCTAGCGCTGGGCGGTGACGGCAAGTAATGATGCTCCTCGCGATACGGTGGCTTATCAGCCCAACCGCTGGGCTTCAAATACAACGGTGGACTACTCAGCGTGCCACCCTTCGTCGAACACTCTCGACACGGTGTACGCCGGCAACTAGACGGCGCATTACGATCCCGTTCATAGTAATCATAATCAGGATGTCTTAATAAATTCGAATCACGTTGACTGGAGCTGGAGTACAAGTCAATTTGGGACAATGGTATTTCGATTAGCTCACAATCACCCTGACCATGACCGGATGGATCGAGCCGATAGTTGAAACCCTCGCACATAAAGCGTTTCTCAATGCCACACTGACGCATACAATCCTCAACGCGTTCGCAGGCGAATGTGCGACGTACCCAACGCGGTGAGATGCGTTTGCCGGCAAGCACGCGGCGGAAACAAGCTGTAATGAAGTTAGAGAAGGATTGTTGTTACAGTAGATGAGTGTGGGTGATAGAGTGGTGCTCTTATCTACAAATGTATGTAAGTGCATATATACAATTTTCGTTGAATTTATACAGTTGTGTTAGGGAGCTGCACCAACGGGGGGGACGGTACTCGCTCGCTTTTATTGATGCTGTTGGAACATGAAGTTTGCGTGTAGAAACACGTTCCAGTCAATGGAGTCACTAGCGTAACGCGAAGGTCATGCGTTAGCTTGCAGCGGTAACATGGAACATATGTAAAACAACAATAAGCTGACAACAACAACAACTTTAGACCAAAACAATTGCAGATTAAAAAAAAAAATTAAAACAATACATTGAGTTATTTCCTTTTTTATTTATCGGACTATTTGGGCTGCTCACTTTATGTACTTTATGGCGCCAAAGCGTACAGAAGACCTACGTTTGTATGTATGTATGTATGTATGTATGTATGTATGTATGTATGTATGTGCATGAATGTTTGCTGAACGTTTTCATCACTACAAGCGTAATAGACACAGCATGAGTAGACGTTTCGACAGTAAATGAAGAGTGGCTTCAATTGGAGTGGCAAGAATGCTGATAATAATAAATGAAAGATGCATACACTCATACATACATATATAAAGGGTGGGTTTTTTAGACGATCCACGCGCTGCGTCAAATACTTGGTCGACACAATCGCCCAGCAGAGTCGGTAATTCGAGCAACCATGTATCGGATACCCACCACGTTTACTTTAATGGCTCATGCGCAACTTCAGAGACGCCATACAGTGCTTGACGAATAAGTTATTGCTGCTGTGGATCAGTGTAACGAAGAAGACCCTAGTGAGTCCATTCGTCATGACGCAAAACAATTGTAGCTGTGCCCATGCGCTTTATTGAAGATTTTGCGGAAGGATCTTGGTTTGAGCGCTTACAAAATCCAACTCATACAAGAATCGAAACCGAACGTCCATCAAAGCGCGTTCAGCACTCGGAAGTTTTACTCAGCTATGAAGCTCACTTTTCGTAGAATGTGTACGTTAATAAAAAAATTTATCACATTTGGAGTCTTGTTAAGCTATAAACAATTGATGAGACGCCGTTGTATCCTCTAAAAAATCACTATTTGGTGCGCTCTAAGGGGCAGAGGGACTCATTCGTCCATATTTCTGCAAAACTGAAGCCAAACATAATGTCATAATGTCAATGATTAATGACTTCTCGTGCTTGAATTGGAGGATTTTGGTGTGGACGACCTTTGTTTCCAACAAAGCGACGATACATGCCTTACAAAGCACGAAAAAAATCAGTTTAATGTATAAATCTTTTGGTGAGCGCCTAATCTCGCGTCGAGGATCTGTGATGCGGCTAAAAAGATCGTACAACTTAACACCACGGAACTATTTTTTGTAAGGTTACATAAAGTCGCTTGTGTACGCACATAAGCCCGAAGCGATTGACTCCTTGGAAGAGCATACTCGGCGCATTATTGCTAAAAAAAAAGAGGTTTGAAATTAACAAGCCGTGGCGCCCACTTGGTCGAAATATTTTATCTTTATAAAAACACCAAGCTCTTGGCGATAACATAAAAACGTTAACGTGTAAAATACACACCCTTTATATGTCTAACAAGTGCTGTAATGCGGATGCGCTTAGGAAAACACTTGCTTACAAGAAATTTACATATGTTTTCTTAGACCATCTTTTTCAACTCTTTTTTTTTTCTTCTCCCACCATTTTTGCACATCCGCTTCTTTTATACATCGAGTCTGGCTTCTGGCCTGCTGGAATGCGTTTAAACGCCAAAGCGCCACACGCTCATAAATATATGCCACTTATTGCTATTGTTATTGCTATTTTGTTGTTGTTGTTGGTGTACAGCATTAGTCGGAAATATTTATTTAATTTTTCAGCTGAAGAAGCAAGCTGTTGTTGTTGTATTATGTAGAGTTTATAAAAATTACACTTCTTTCAACACGCATTTTTAAGGCCACGCGCTTGTAGTGCCGCCCATTAGCCCATTATAATGCCATTCCAAGTACAATGACCGTTGGGCTCAATTTGGGTTTGACCTAACAAAAAGTTGGCATATTTTTTAATAATTTGAATTTTTTTTCTATAATTGCGTGAGTGCAAAGAAAGTTCTGGGATTTTCTTACAAAATAATTTGGAGAGAATTCTTTGTTTTTTTTTTTTGTTTTTTAATTATCGTGTTTAAAAGAAAATTATTAAAATTCTTAGTTGCAATTATTGTGCGCTAGGAATATTTTTGCGTTTTCTTTTTGGCGCAAAAGTAGTTCTTCCGTTTATGAAATTAATATTTAACGGTTTTTATTTGAATTTTTTTAGCATAACTGAGTAAAACAACTGAAAGCTCAAAGCACTGCCCATTCGTGATGACAAATATCGAGGAGGAGAGTTGAATTTGAGCTTGGGCATGCACTACCCGTCTCTTTTAAGTTCAGTGTTGACGTCTCTTTCTTCTAAGAATGAGGAACAACAATAGTATCCAGTTTAAAATCAAGTGAAATCTCTTTCTTTTGAAGGCAAACGGCTCTCTTGATAGATATGTGAGTGATCGGGACGTTGTCCAAAAGATGGATCAAATCGATCACTTTCTGGTCTGAGGCTATAGTGAACATTAGAGTAATCCGTACCATCTTCTATATGGCACAGGATCCATTCGTTCTTGCCTTTGACTGCCGGAGTAAATAAAATGCAGAATATAATAGCTAAATCAGTTCTTTGATTACGGAAGCTTATAATATCCATAAGTAAGAAATAAGTTCTTCTTCTTATTCTTCATTTGTTGAATTAACAATAACGTGCCATTCGTACCTTCTCTTCGCTGTTTGGCAGCAGTTGGAAATACCATGAGAAATCAGAACGGTCTCCACCTGATCTCTTCAATGGAGTAGAGACCTTTCTTTCTCTCTGCTTTCCTCGACGGAGACTGCATCGAATACTTTCAAAACTGGAGCGTTTTCATTCATTCGCTCATTCGGGCAACATGAACTGGCTAGCGAAGTCGCTCTCTCTCTCTCATTTCAATCTTTGAATAAAATCAGTAAGAGCTCAAAATTTTGTTCGAACATTTTCGTTTATTGGTCATTGCTTGAAACATTTGAGTAGTTGAGCAACGAATGAGTAGCAAGCGTGTATTGAGCTGCTCGCACTGTTGGATACACGAGTATCTGAAGCCCTAACATCAGTGCCATCGTACAGCTCGTACAGCTTAACGTTGCATCGACTACGATATTCGCCATACTCATCGGATGTCGACTTGTAAAGTTTGTTGTGGGTTCGTCGAGAGAGGCCTTCTCAATCCAACCCATCACCTATTGGCTAGAGTGATCTAGCGTCGAATTTAAGGCTGACATTATTAGATCGTAATGTTGGTCCCTAGATAAACGAAATTATCTACGACTTCAAAGTTAACTATCAACATTTGCTGACGAGGGTGTCGAGTCCTGAATGCCATGATTGCTTGTTTCATAACAGGAGATGTTTTCCATTCAACTGGTAGTGGCCAGAAATGATTATTTTACATATGGTTCAAAGAGCTAGCGACTTCTGTTCTCAAAACAAGCATGCTCTGGGTAGTCAACAAACATCCTCTTGAAGGGGAGCTAAAGTATGAAGGTCAATTCTTTGTGATTGTGCGTAGGTTTAGTACCCGTCAAACCACAAGAACTATACTCAAATGAAAAATTTACACACATGTGAATGCTTACAGCGTTCGGCACTCGAAGTGTAACCAATTAAAAAGGCCACAAATTAAGTTTGGAAAATTACTTTTACTTAATTCAAATTACAAAATGCGTGAAAAAAATACAAAACTCGGAAAAAATTTAATTTTGCTCGAGATGACCACGAATCGAAAGCTACCCGAAGGTGACTTGCAGGTATTTCGGACCACTCGTGGACAACGCCTTTCTTCAGCGTCTCGGACGAGTGTATATTTTAGTTCGTACCTTGTTGCTCTCCAAATTGGCCTTGCTCTCGAAAATGGCTCAAAGACTAGCATCTGGTGGACGTTATGAAAACGATTGGAGTGCGCCCATCTCCGATTACAGCGGCCCAGACCATTATCCGTGTCGGGTGCTGCCTCCTTGTGTACAAATCAATCACTTGTACGAACGGTCGAAAAGTAACGACAAGAATATCAAACTTTCTGTTGTTAGTAAGCTTTTTAACAGCCGCCTCTGAACGGCTGCTGGATTTTAATGAGAAACTTTGTATTTCATATGAAAAACAAGCAAGAAGTGGTTTAAACTCACTACCGATGCGCGACCGCAATTGGAAAAATTAATTTTCTATAATTTTGAAAGTTAGTCTAATCAGGTGTCGAACCAATGAACACCCAATTGTTAATACGCTGTGCTCTGAATACTCAGCTAAGACGACCATGCGTTCTTCTGGTACTGCAGCAATAGCAGAAAGTACAGCAATGCGGGACTCTGGCCGAATGTAGTGTTTCTGGAAAGGATATGGACGTGGTATCGTCGTCATGAGGCACTCCTCAATGAGTCAACCAGTTTAACATAACTTAAATTTATGTAAAAGCTTTTTTTCTGTTTCATAAAAAAATGTACATTTTTGAGTTTGTAGAAACCTCTAAATGTTTATTTGAAATTTTTAATCTCATTCACCACTTAAAGGAGTATAAAATTATATTCTAATTTTATTTTATCAAAATCACCATAGTTCAACCACATTCATATATATATAGACCACTATTCTAGTCGCCATATAAATTACTCCCCTCGCAACAGAATTCAGTGGCATTTCGTGGCTCATTGAATTTTAAAATTACCTAATTTTTATTTATTTATATTTTGTTTTTAGATCCGCAAAAGTGTACGTACAATACATACATTCATACATATGTGCATATATATGTGTAAATCTAAAATATCTATAAATAATTGTTTGACCCACTTTTCATATTTACAGAGATTATATAATAACCAGCAATATAAATAACCATCACCCCCAATAAATTTCACTTTCAACACGACAGAAATTAATATTTACATGTAATAAATGACACAGTGGATTTTCAAAGCCATACATATATATACATACTATGTAGAGGGTGTTCATTTTAGATATGTTGTTTGCAATGAGCCATTACTTTTTTTCGGAGTTGCTGCATTTGACAGCTGTTACTTGATTTGAACAGACTTAATCTCGAATAATGTCGGCAAATCATGCAAAATTATTAGCAATATAATCGCCCAGCAGAGTCGTTAATTCGAGCAACTAAGGATCAGTTTCGCGCCACGTTTAATCTAGCGGATATTGTGTGTTCTCAGAGACGCCATATAATGCGTACCGCAAGCACTATTCCTGCTGTGGAGCAGCGTAACCAAGACGAGGCGCATTAGTTCATCCGCCATTGGGCGCAACAATTGCGAGTATAATCATTCACTTTATGGAAAATTTTGCTAAAGGATTTTGGTTTGCGAGTTTACAAAATCCAATTCTTGCAAGAATTGAAACCGAACCACCATCAAATGCGTCGTACGTTCAAAGAATGAATCGGCGACGAGATGGCCACCGATGTCGAGTTTCAGATGAAAATTTTGTTCAACGTAGCAACTTACTTTTGGTTGAATGTATAAACAAGGCATTGTTGAGTGGTTAGCATTACATGCTGTAATTCGGAAGGCCATCACTCGAGTCCTCGCTCGATCAACATCCAAAAGTCATAGTAAAATAAATTTAAAAAAAATTTAGTTTAATTTTTTAATTGAGGTCGCCACTCGGCAGGGAATGTCAACACCTCCAAGCGTATTTCTGACATGAAATGAAGGCATTTTGAGAGAGCTTAGTATAAACTGTAGGTCCCTCCATTTGTTGGAAAAGACATAAAGACGCAAAACCACATATTCGAGTAGGAGCTCGGCCAAAAATCATTTCAGCGGACACTCTTACATCCTCAAATAGTCACTGTTTGTTGCTCTCTACGAACAGAGAGAATCATTGGACCGCATTTCTTCAAAAATGAAGTCGGTTATAATGTTACAGTCATTTGTCGCTTGTCAAACCAGATAAACCAGAAGCAATTGACGCTTTGGAAGAGAATATTTGCTACAAACAGTGGCGAAAATTAGGCTTCTCGTATGAAGTTCACCATTCATCATTAAATCGGTCACTTGTCCCAAATCATTTTTAGAGCACAATGTCCCTTGTCTTTATAATAAAGTTCAAATCTGGTACACGAAATTAAATTACACAATTTTTAATGCCTTTTATATATGCTATGTACATATATTATCGCTTATGCTGTTTATATAGATATTTCTTAATTAAGAGTTTTATTATGGAGCTGGATATTTTGTGAATATTCTTCCTCATATTAAAGGAGAAAACACTCTAAGATGATTTCAACGTATTTAAATGACTTCTTTTAATATTTCCTTCTATTTCACCCCCTTTCTTTTCACTATATTTCTGCATTTATTTAAATTTTGTGTAATTTTTACTTTTTTTTTTTGTATTTTACTACCTTTTGCATCCTCGACAATTATAATCGTGCTGCCGCCACTGCCGCTACTGCCGCTGGTCGTATATCCACGTGCCGTTACACTTACACTGCAATAAGCCAATAACAGCCATGCAACAACACAATCTCTTCTCAACCGCATTCTAACGACTATATTTCAGTACTAAATTGCGTCTACGGTGAGCGGCGAGTGAAATGAGCGCGAAAAAATTGAAAATTGCGTGCGATTTGCTGCTGAGTTAACTACATACATACACGTATGTGACAACAACTATAAAAAAAAAGAAACAATTGTACTGAGCTCTGGCTAATGTAAGCGAAAATTGTTTATAATGTGCACAACAACACAAAAAAAACATAGAGCTCAGTTAAAAATGTTTGTTATGCGTTTTTTCGATTTTATTTTTTGTTTTATTTTTATTTGTTCTTATTTTACTTTATTTGATTTGGGTATTTTTTAGTTTTTGACTTTTTCATTATTTTTTCCACCCTTTTGCAATCTATTTTGTTTATTTTTTCAATGAGATTTTTTTTTTAAATCTTCAAATTTTTGTTTATTTTTAAATTTTTTTTTCACATTTTTTGCTTCTAAATTTTTTCTACAAATTTTTTAATGCTATTTTTTTCCTCTCAAATTAATGTTTATGTGGAATTTAATTTTTCACAATTACGTAAGCACGCGCGTTTTTCACTTTAAACCAAACAATAAATTGTTGTTTTTCTATTAAGTTAGCATTCAACATAAAACAATTGTATGAAGCGAAAAAAAAAATTGAATGTCAAATACATTAGGCATTCGATGTCACCACAGCGTTGGTGGCGCGCGGTCAACGCCGCAGCAGTGTCGCATGTGAATCTTCATTGGTGTCAGCCGAAAAAAAAAAAACAAAAAAAATTGAACAAAACACAATTGGCTAATAAAACGTTTGATTTTAATATTTATTGTTCACTGTTTATAAGTATATACATATGTATGTGTGTTTGGGGAATTGTTAACTTTTATTATTTATTGTTTATCACTCGCTATATGCGGTTGCGTGCAGCGTTATCCTTGTGCTGGTCAGCGCAGCTATCGTTTGTTATGTAAATTTTTAGTAAAATTTTCAATTATTTAATGCGCACCCAAAAAAAAAAAAACAAAAACAAAAATAAATGCTCGGCATGTATTTATATATGTGCTGGCGTGCATTAACCGTAACATTTAATAGAAAATAAATATTTTGGATTTTTGGAATTTTATTTTTTCGAAAAAACTCAAAGCTACCGCACCTCTTTCTTGTCACAACACTATTTATAAACTATTTATGTAGCAAAATAATAGACTCGTGCTTTACTTATTTTTTTTTTCTTATTTGTATAATTCGCTAGTTCCCTTAAGTTCTAGTTAAACTCTCTTTTGCTTCCTTCATTTAATTGATTTTTTTTTTTAATTTTTTCAAGTTTATCCACCCGCTCGCTTGTGTTTTTTTTTATTTACAGCATTTTTGCTAATTTCGCGGATGCACAAATGCTAATGTTCCGCCGCAAACTAACGCTTTTGGCGTTGCGCATCTTCGTTTTATAGACTGCTTCGTTGGATGAAGCTGTAGCTCAGCGACAAAGCTTTTGCAACACCCTCACCAAATGGTGATTTTTGGTGTTCTAATATGTGTGTGCACGCGTAGTTGTGTGTGTGTGTGTGTGCGTGTTGGTTGGGGTGGGAAAATTCTATTGAAGCTTTGGAGTTTAACTACATGGGAATTTCTCTTCACATAATCAAGTGAAGAGTTTATTTTGATGAAACTACTTTTCGCCACAGTTTTTTCTAAAAAAATAGGTTTTGTAAAAAAAGTATATTAAATTGTGTCAAAAAAATTCAAAATTCCCAATTTCTGGCTTATTTTTTTTTATTATTTAAAACTATAAAATTTCGAACTAAAATTTAAATTTTCAGATATAAAAATTTTTATTTGATTTATTTTATGGAACTGTTTCAGGCCATATAGTTTTTGGAAATAGTGAAAAAATTACAACAATAGTTTTGAACGATATACGACGAGTTATAGCTACTATTTCGAAAACCACCATGTTTCCCCATCAGACTTATTTTTCCAGACACCTTTGTTCAAATTGTATTCGAACTTGGGTTGCCCACAGCACCAGCCAATGGTTATTTCAATAAGCTTATGTGCCGCTCTTACTTGTTGTTGTTTTTTCACTTTTCCTTTTATCTACACATCCACGTTGAAGTGCTCAGATATTGTGTAGCTGTAAGCTTGGCGCGATGTAGTTGTTTTTGCGTAGAATTTACCTACAAATATTGTAAAGCAACGCCCTTTTTGTTGTTGGAAAATTTCATTCGCACTTCTAGCAAAAAAAAAAAAATTCAATTAAAAAGTACTATAATTACGATTATTTCGAATGAGTTGGTCCCCGGTGCAGATCCTAAAGAAAGCAAGCATAGTCATCTATGCGCCAACTTTAAATGAATCGAATCAAATAAACAACAAAAATTGGTTTCGTATCAATTTTTCTAGAAACCATAGAAACAATCTTAACAAAATTTAATTCAATCGGTCGTTAATTTTTCGAAATATGCTGATCTTTACAAAAGAACGTTAGATTTTTATAAAATATATATAGATAGATGTATAGCTAACCTACCTCTAAATTTCAAATATCTGAACTTAAAACTGAAAATCTAAACATTTTCTCAATTTTAAATTAAAATTTCAAAATTAAAGTAAGAAGAATTGGAGTCAGCTACTTTGAGAGAAAGAAAACATAACCTCAAAGAAAGAAAAAGGAAATTGTCGATTGAAGGTGATTGGGAACAAGAATGTAATTTTTCGACTCTTCTTCAGTTTCTGGAGACATATATAAGAACTATAAACGCTTTAACTCGTGACTTTAGCTGATCGAGAGGTGCTGGCTTTGGTTTAGCAGATTTCTGGTTTTCGGATCTCAGTAAAAAGCTATGCAGAAGCAGCAAGCTACATTAAGGGGGAAAGCTGGTCTAGAGCGCAAAAAATGGGCATATTTTATGAATTTATTTTGACTCAGCAAAAGAATCAAGGCAAAATCTGTGAAATACGTTTAATAATATAGGTTTCATGGTGCAAATACAAAATTTTTTTGTGAATTAATTTCAAAATGGCCGCTGTCCAGCATTTCCCCGAAGATGCCTTTTTTTTCTCATAGGTCCATGGTGGAAGACGTAAACTCCTTAGTTTTTGTTCTGTATTAAAAAATTAATTTTTATTTTTCTATATAACAACAGCAAGAGACGTACGTAGAATTTTTTCGATGTTTTCATTTTCTCGAAAAAGTGCATTGTTCAACAAAAAATTATAATTTTCACTATAAACAACGACTTAACATTGTAGACTAAAAAAAAACTATGTAATATAAAAAAATCCTATGTACGTCTTCGGAGAACGGTATTTCGAATTTACTGTCATAATTTCATATGAATCTGTGAGGATTTGTTCGTGAAGTTATGTCTTTCTTCGCTCTGGGCATACCTGCAGGACATTGCCGTCGAATGAAATATTTGGGCATTTAGACATTTTTGCCGGCATCCATCTTTTGGTAATTTATTTCTTATACTAGGGTCCTTTTAAAACAGAAAATTTTTTTTTTCGATTTTTTCAAAACTCTAGACCAGCTTCCCCCCTTAATATTATATTCATATCTAAAGTCATTATTACAGAACTCCGAACTGAACTCGCAATTCCTCATTTCTGCCTGCCATGCAAAGCCTTTTCGTACACGCTTTTCAGTTTGTTGGGCAAGGAAAAAAATCAAAACTTTATAACTGTAATACACAACAATCATGCACGAATAATGATTGTCAGAACATAACTCCTTTGTGGGTGCCCATGGTCAAAAAACTTGCTTTCCTGTTTCACTATTTTTTTTTTCTTTTTAAATTTAATATATTTTATTTATCACAAGTTTGCTATCATGAAGAATATATCAAATGAAAATTTATTCGATCGTCGGTTTTGATCGTTGTCTGCACGAAAAAAAATCATCCTGCAGTAAATGTAGAGGCGGGTATTGCTGGCAATTTTTTTAATAAACACAACAGGTTTGAGAAAAGTTAGTTTTGAGCCAAACTTAGAGGTGTTGCTAATTTGCTGTCATGTTCTTCTTCCCACTATTTCATTTACAATGTTACAATTTTTTCGAAGTCTTTCAAAAATATTAAGGAAGAAAAGATGACCATTTTGAGAAGGAGATTCTATGACGAATATTTTTTTATTTTACTATACCAAAAAAGGAGCACTATTATGGCGATCTCATGGTAAGCTTTTGAATCGTTTGGTATAGCATTTGGTTTGTATTGTAAAAAGCAGCAGGCAGTCTTTTTCTGTCACCGGTGAGAAAATAAGCGAAAATTTGTCCTTACAAAACGCGTACTTCCTTTTCCTATTGGTCTCTGCTAAATGTAGAATTAAAAGCCATAAAATAAATAACGTTTTTTGTAAATTTCGTTGAAACCACGTGTCCTAAAGGGCAGAATATCTAAAATTCTCCATTGATCGGTATAAATTTGTTAAATATTTAAAATTATTTTTCCAACCAATACATTCAAATTCGAAAACTTCATTAAATAACTAATTAAATAATATTTTAGCATTAAAATTTTCAGGACATATTAATTTCAAATTTCACGTATACCAAATATAAGCAAAAATATTTATTATTACCATTTGTATATGAAAAAATGATAAATAATGTAACGATTGCGCTTTAAGGAAGCTTCTATACTTTCTTAAAAAGACATACACGTAAACTATTAAGCTTGAAAGCGGCTTTTTTTCTGAAATGCGAAACAAAGTTAAAGAAGAAACAACAACCACAATAGCAGGAAGCCTCAGACGAAGTTAATGAGCCACAGTTTGACAGCCTACCACAAAGAAAAAGTGACGCCTGCGTTTGTAGAATAGAAAAGACAATATGTAAAAAAAAAACAAAAAAGTAAACAAAACACTAAATAACAAAATACAATACAAACAATAAAAATGCAAAAAAAAATCACTTTATTCAAATAGAAAATGTGAACGAGAAGTAAGCAAAAAAAGCATAAAAAACAATAACAATAAATTATTGCATGTGCCATGGAAATTTGCTATTTATTTATAAATAACTAACTTACTAATTGAAACGCAAGTAAACAGGCAGTAAACAGAAATTAATTAAATTGGCACAATAAGACAATTAAAGTTGATGAAAAAAAAAAATATTTATTATTGTACATTCCTAGTGGGAGAAAAACCAACTTAAACTATAAAATCTTATATGCAAATGCCATAAATTAACCGAATTTGTCTCGCTTTTTAGACAATTAGTGGCGAGAATCCAAGTTGCCGCTTACTTCCGT